AATTATATTCTTGGCGATGCCACAGGCTTCCTGCGTGACTCGGGTCTAGCTGAAGGTTAACGTCTTGGTGCCTCAGTTTCCTCACCACATTTTTTGGGACAATGCTTATTTCATTTCCTAGGCAGTGCTGGCATACTGAGCTGGATTTCTATGCTCCAGTGACGTGATACACTAATCCCCTGTAATTTTTCAACAGAAGGGAAAAATCAAACTTCTAGGGTTTGAATCTATGGCTTGCATAATTGGAAGACAGCAAGGAGGAATTTACTGGAATGATTCAGAAGCTGAATTTATGTTGGGTTCTGTCCACAGAATCATAGAATCACTGTGTTTGAGTCCTGAAATGTCATATAAACAGTGCCCTGCCACTCCTGTGAATGGTTTCCTGACTTTGTTAAAGGAAGTGGGCTGTCTACTTAAAGCTCTTGTCTGGGTCACAGTGACTAAACCTTTCTGCAGTGTGGCTTTTTAAAGGTTTGCATTTGTTTTAACTCAGAAGCATTCCCATAAGCCTCAACAAATAACAAAGGTGTAGAACATCATATATGTCCTTTGATCCATGGAAGTGCAGGGATGTCTCACTAGTAGATGTAGCCCAGTTCACCTGTGCACTAATCCACTAACACTGACAGCAGTTAGAGGACTAGCTCCATTGTGTAATACTGTAAACATTAGTCATAACTGCTTGTAAAAAGTGCTGGGAAGAAAAGTCCTGGGAATTACAAGAATTTGAGTCACACTCAGCTGTAAGTATTAGAGATCCTCTGAATCAAATTATATTTGTCTTGCCCCCTTTGCAACGCTCTGGATCTCTCAGTCCAGTACAGAAATCATTAGCTAATTGTAAAAGGGAAAATAAAACCTTGTCTTAAGGCATCTGTTCATGTCAGGTAGCAGACGTGTGTATTCTGCAGCCCCTCCAGAGACACAGAGATGTCTGTAAAACTGTTCACCGTGCCATGTGTTGTTGTTTGTATAAACATAATTGAACATACTAATACAGAATACAATTATTCTGATATACAAAGCTACACTACATGTGATTAGAAAATAACAATGTGCCCTGGGAACAGTTAGCAAAACTGCCAGAATGCAGATAAAAATTGTCTTATTAAAATGCAAAAGTAAGCATTTATCTTTGCTGCTATCCCTATGGGAGCTGTTACACATAATAATGAAAAGATGTCCCTTGAAATGGCATTACTTTTTAATGAGGCTTTTACCCACTGAGTCATAATCTCCATTTTACTAATTACAAGTAGAAATGCCTTCCTGAACCCAAACTGCTGAGTCCAAGCAGCTTCTGAAGCTGAGGCTTCCCAGTCAGTTCTCGGACTTGGACAATTCAGCAAGTGTTGGGCTACAGCTAAGTTAAAGATGGGGGGTGACTCTACAAGCCAAGCAAAGAAGACCCAGCAAAGACATCTGCACATCACAGTGTCAGATCCTGGGCAGTTCTTTGACATATTCCATAGTGCTTTACTTGTTAACAATCCTCTGGTTAAACCAAAAACAAGTGGGACACCCATGGTGATTACTTGCTGATTGTTATTTGGTCCCATGGACAATGTATTTTCCTTTTACTCTGGCACTTGTCTTCATTCAGAGCCTGAAGAGCCAAACACTAACTGATGGTGCTGAACCCCAGTTCTGACTCACTTGCCCTGTCCTATTCTCAGTAGTACTCAAAAGACCACATGGTGCAAGGACTGAACACTTGCATTTCAGTAAAAGCCTGGCTTTTCCCTTCATCTGTCTAATTACTCATATCCTCTTGAGTTTATGACCAATAAACCATTTTTGGTTAAAGCATTTTGGCCAATATGATCCATGGTCATAGCCACTGTTTCTTCTAGTATTCAGGTCTTTGCTACACATTTGACATGGGAATTGCTTTACACAGCAACAGGGGGAAACATCTATTTCTGCAAACTGTCATTCAGGGAGCTGCTTAAAATTTGACAGCACTGAGATTATTTTTATGATAAAATACTAAATCATTGCCAACACAAAGGTGAATGGTTCAGGCTGTCAATCCAAGGTCTCATAACATGAACTGAAATATGGGGTTCAGCAGGCCAAAAGGTTTCTAACAAAACATTATTAAAGTTAGAAAATTAAGTAATCTAAAGCAAGGAAACTCCAAGATGAATTGGCCCTCCCCGGCTCCAAGCCATCCTTTCTTTTCCAGATTCAGTTTATCTATTCTCGTCCTTATGCCCCAGGTCATTTCATCTCTTCATTTTATGCTGGTTGCTTTCTCTCAGATAATGAATACCAAAAGAGAGAGTCAGGAGTGAGGGAAGCTGATGGCTTTTTTTAATGCCAAAAATTAAATTCTGGGAACATTCTCAAATCCATAAAGGAACACTCCATTGTGATGCTAAAGTGAGAAGGTGGAGTAATCATCTGTTGCTACAGTTTTTCTGAGCCTGGTCATTTTGAGAAAGATTTTCATAGCCACCTCTGTTATTTAAAGGCCCTACATCAAAACCTACAGACACTAGAACTTCTTATAGAAAAGTCTGACAATTATTTTTAAATGGGTGAACCCATTTCTTTTTCCCCAGTCTTTTTCTTGGAAATTACTGAACTGTTTGGCTAAAAGGTTCCATAGAGCAAAATACAGCCTGAGTCAGCATGGAAACTATCACCACTAATGATTAAATTGTGGCAAGACTGTAAATAGCAGAGTCCAGGTCTTCAAGTGAGTCAATCTTATAATACATGGGGCAGTCAAACCATCCTATATGATAAGTTGTCATAGCTTCCATTGCGCAATTTGAAAGCCTCTGATATATGTGAGAGACAGGTTGACAGTAGAGCCCTTTATTAGTGAGCACAGCACAGAGAGGTTCCCCAAAATCATACAGAAGCTGCTGGTAGACCTGGGATGGCGCTCAGAAGGACTGACCTCAGATTTCTTCTGTAACCACCGACTGCCCTTGGTTTTGCTTGGCTCAACAACTTCTTCATTGTTGTCTCTCTCTGACTTCTCTTCCCCTTCTCCTTTTTCCTTGGTTTCCCTTCTCACAGAATTTCAGCCTTTACCCATATAAAGACTTTCCCATATCTGACTGAGAGTTTAAACCAGTTTGGCTGCCTTAGATGAGAGGTATGGTTTCCATTCCAGGAGACAACCATGCCGGGCACGTATTCCCTGCCCACTGTCACCCTCTTCACCTCACAGTTCTTGATTTCTGGTAGCCTCAGGATAAAAAAGGAGACAGGTTGGATTACTTTCTTGGTGGCTGTGGGAAGAAGAGCTTGAAGCCTGGTCTAGTGTCTGTAGGACTCGTTTATAGTCACATTCCACGTGGTACAGGAAAGTAACATTATATATGACTGTAATCTCTGGTTACATTTGGCATTTGGCAGTTCCCTGATTGAATTGCATCATATTTATGTTGCCTCAGACAAGTCCTAATTATGAACATTTTGATTTTTCCACCAGTTTTTCCAAGAGGTTCACCATGCCCACATCAATCAGATCTGAGTTATTTTTGCCCTTCCACAAATGTGCTTTTTTTGGTTAGATTGAATGTGTCTAGGTTGAATGTGAGGCTTTCCAATGTGACTTCATTTCCTAGTAGAAAACAAGCACAGGGATTCAAGGTATGTCCCACTGCCCAGCTGAGGGACAGCATCTCTGGGCAGCAGCTCTCTGCAGACAGGCCTCACTGATGAGTCAGGCCTGGCAGCAATAACATGGCTGGGCACTGTGAGGGGTGCAGGGACAGCTGTGAAGAGCTCTGTACCTGAAAAGGGAGAGGTCTCTGTCATTCCCTCCTCCTCAGTAGTGTCTGATTTTGTGAGCACCAGAAGTGTGCAGACTGCTGGAGACACAGGCAGCAGAACTGCTGGCACAGGTGACCCTCCAGGGGTTTGTAAACCTCAAGACAATTAAAAGGGGGAACAGTGAAGATACAGTAGGTCACTGGGATTGAACTGGAGGTAATAAATCCCAAAAAACCCGCAGACCTGATCAGGTGTTTTGTCACTGCAGACCCCAGGCAGTGGAAAAGCAGAATGGACCCACCCAAACTGACTATTCTGTCCAGGTCACAGACCATACACAAGCAGCTAAAGACCTCCCATACCCTTCTTTCCCTAGAAGCCAAGTGGCTGCATTTGCCAGGGTCCCATGCCAGCATTAATGCTCCCTTCCAAGGGCAGCTGGCTGGCTTTTGGTGTCTGTGTATCTTTGCCACAGGCAATCCACAACTCCTGGATAGCTGGAAGCCTGCTGCAATGTGAGACTGCATTGCTTCCCACTTCCTTGCAGAGGAATTGGCAGGAGCACCTATAAACCTACGGCAGAGGCTGAAATTTTCAGTCTGAGTGGGTTCTGACTTGGAACCTAGAGCTAAGGGGAAAACATACGTGGAGTTTGGCAGTCCATGTAGAGGATTTTGACCTCGAAGGCTTTGCCTCTTTGTAAGTTTTGCCTTAGAGATGATGTGGCAGCAAAGCAGGATGGGGATCCCTTCCTGATCTACCCGAACATGTCCTAATGGGATAGAGATCTGTACTTCCCAGACCTTTTATCAAACCAGCAATGTAGCCAGGATAGCAAGCCTGAACTTTCAAAAAGTCAGAAGCCAAGCTCTGAAACATCACAGGACTTGCTTAAAACCACAAGGTGCTCCTCAGATGTTTCCTCTGGGCACTGAGCTTTTATTTCATATTCAAGTGGAAACCAAGAGGAACGTATTCTTTCTAAAAGAAAGCCTGAAAATATTTCACATGATCACTAGATTCCAAAAGATTAAGAATAAAACATAGAGTCACGAAGGCTTTCAACTCTCATAAAAGTCTGGAAATAACTTATTTTAATTTCAAAACCCTCTAAGCTATAAAAGGAAGATTTTTGGTAAAGCAACTCTGACTCATTCTAACACATTTTCCCTTCATTCATACGTTCTTTTGACTCAGACTAAAAGACTTGGATTGCAAAGCCTCATGCGTGTGTGTGTGTTCTTTTTTTTTTTACTTCACAGCTTTTTTTGGGAAATACCTCAATGAATACAATGGCAGCTACATCCCTCCTGGGTGGAGAGAGTGGGTTGGATTAGTGAAGAACTCTCGCTTCTATAATTACACCATTTCTCGCAATGGTAACAAAGAGAAGCACGGATTTGATTATGCAAAGGTATTTTCCAGACACATAAATGGCACATGATTAATCCATATAAAAATACCTTTCAGATAATTAATTAACCACATAATTAATTAATTAAACAACTACAACCATGAAATTGAGATGTCATTTTCTCTCCAGGGCATTTCAGATAAATTTCCACCTGAGAATATTAATCACTCAACAGAACAATGTTCCCAAGGCTCTTCTGAGGAGTCTGGTAATGCCTCCCTCCTTCCTCCCGTCCCTCCCTCTCTCTCCCAGACAGAATGTGATGTTTTGGTGGCAGAAGCAAACAGTAAATAAAAACCTTTCCCAAAAAGAATTGTGTCCCTTGCGCTACTGAGCTTTAAAGTTTGCTGAGTGTTGTCAGTTGTTACCCACAGAAGAGCCTTGGTTAATGTTGTTTTCCATTATAGAGTGCACACCAAAGAAAGGCTGTATGCCTGTGGTGTCAGACTCCGGATATGAGTATATGAGAGTAGATAAGGGCAAGAATGCAGCCGTTGGAAAAGTTCAGAGCTTGTTTGTGCTCTTGACAAAGTGTGGAAAGTATGCCAAAGGGACCTGCCCACTGCCATGAAGTTTCTTGGAAAGGCTTAGGAGGGCAGATCTTAGACAGACCAGCCTGCAGAAAGCAATCTGGAATTTCCTCAAATTGCAGCTCAAGGAAGATGATACAGATGTTGCAGCTGTGGTTTCTGACCCATGTAATGAGTTTTTATTGGAAACTAGTGACGCCTGTTTCTGATTTTCCCATCCATAGAAATTACATTATACTGATTATATATTTATGCAGGGTAAAAAAAAAGGAAATGTAGAATACTGGTTAGTTATACATTCCTTACACTCCCCGTGTATGTAGCTAGAATAAACAGAAAAACAGGAGGGGAGGAGATGCTTTGGGAGAGCAGTCATACAGGCATTTCACTCAGGCCACAAACCCAGAAATTATCACAGCCCTGGTACCTCACACTCATTATCCATTTTGGAAACTAAAGGATCACTCACTGTCTCATCCATATGCTTGCAGGTTTTGTAGCAGCCAGGGCTACTGTGCATATTCCAAGAGTGCTGCAGGAGAGGGACAGGGGCAGGGGACAGGGAGCGGGTGAGCGAGGAGGTCACAGCTGGTTGCCTTGTCCTAGCACTGACATGGACACAGACCTTGTCCCTCAGGCTCTGCTTTTGCAGCTGTTCAGGGCCTCGAATCCACAACATGAGATTAGTCATGCCTGGAAGTGCTTGAAATTACAAACATTGTCTCAGCACTTTCTCAATGAAGCTCGAGCTAGACCTCCAGGCCAACAGTGAATACTCCAAGGTGGCAGGTGGTTTAATTTAAGTTTTCATCTTTTTTTCTTAGTTCCATTTCCTCCCTTTTCCTTGTAGGCTTCCATTTGCCACCTTAGCTGTGGGTTAAGTCAGTTTATTAGCAAGTCACAACCTTAATCTCAGCAGCTGCACTGCTTAAAGTTGCACAATTAAATGAACAGAGCCCTCAGGAATTCAACTGCTCCCTGCATTCTCATTTGAAATTTCTTTGATTAAGATTTTTTGCAATCTGTTGCCTGTTGTAGCTGTCTTCCACTTTGTACATATGCAAAAGTATAGTCTGAACAAAGTGTGTGCAATAAAGGTTTATGTAAACATAAAACCAGATTAAGATTCAATGTTATTTGGGAGCCATTACCTTGTGAGGTGTTTTATCAATGAAATTTAAGAAACATATCTTTGTCAGTACAGTCTGTGATTTTAAATGTTACTTAGCATTATATTACCAAATCTGGTAATCAGATTTACTTTATACTTTCTGTTGTATCTGATTTGCAAAATACTGTCTCATTTTATGTGGCATTGCCTGCTTAAGAAAGTAATTACTGCTCAGTCTCCCCTATGCTCCCTCAAATCATACATCTCTTTGATGGTATGCTTTTACTTCCTGATCTGAGCTTTAATGAGGACTTGAAAAATAACATAATAACATGATAGTATGTGATCTAATTAATCATGCACTTTGTAACTTTTGCTTTGTGTTAATCGTATGTTCCAGGACTACTTCACAGACCTAATCACTAATGAGAGCATTAATTACTTCAGAATGTCTAAGAGGATATATCCCCATAGGCCCATAATGATGGTCATCAGCCACGCTGCACCCCATGGCCCCGAGGATTCTGCACCGCAGTTCTCAGAGCTCTACCCCAACGCTTCACAGCACATGTAAGTGAAGCTCACACACTGCCAGACCCACTCCTTGTGTCTGCTTCTGCAAGGAATTTGTTTATGGAGACAGCTCAGGAGCAGGGAATTCAAATATAAGACACTCCTGTAAGCAGAGAATGTTTGCTTGTTTCTTTTGCTGTGCTTGTTCCTTTTGCGGGGGAGAGTGACAGCTCTGACCATTATTAAAGCAGAGAGAAGCTCTTTTCCTCCTGGGAAGTTGTGGGAGATTAAAAGGTCAGTATTTGGCTTTGTAAGGGCAGCTTCTTACAATACCCTGAAAATATGTAGACACAGGTCAGGATCTGTTGGAAAGATATTACTTCCTTCGTTTCCCTCTAAGATATGTGCTTCCTGGGCTCTAAGTAACTGAATGCATTGAGAGTAAAAACACCCTTTTGAAGCTTTTGAGTGCACCAGATTTGTTTATACACTAGATACTGGCAGATTCCCAAAATAGCCTATCAGACTACACTTTTAAATAACACGCTTAATCTTTTCTGGTGATTAAACTATAACAAAACCCCTCAATGCTTCATTTTGTTTCTAGAAGAAAAAGCAACTTCAGGTAAAAATCTGTGCAGAGTCCACATCTGTGGATTCCTCATCTTGCTTCCTACCTTGAAAATTCTGGGTCCTTTTCATTATAGTGAGAGGCTATGGAAGATTTCCATTGCACTTTTGACTCCCATGGGTTTGTAGACCAGTCTTTCCTTTTGTTCTGGAACAATGTATTAGAATATCTTTAAAAAACAACACAACAACAACAAAATCACAAAAAAAATCTTTATAAAATATTTCAGCTGGATTGTACATTTATCTGTCCTCTCAAAATGCGGATAAATCAATTTCATTAGACAATGGGAAAGCTCCTTTGTCTAAAAATTGTATTTTGGACACTATGCAGTTGTTCACATACCAGGATGGTTTTTCAACTTACATCAAATATTTTAAAATTTCTAGAGATAGTAGTTATTGCATGAACTGCATGGATAAACTGATCACTGGTTGGGGCCAGAAAGAGATTTGCTGTTCATGGCACATGGTTACATTTTTGTTGTTTTGCATCTTTTATCCTCTTACTGACTGCTACTTTCTAGATATGCCAGTTTCCCTGACCTTATAATCTTATATTCTCCATGATCCCACATTCCTGAGACCAGACTTTGCAAGTAATACAAAGTCAGCATTATTTGTAGTTACTTAGATATTCAGAGTAGTTTCTACCCATATAGGGAACTAATGAAGTTGAGATTTTAGTTGATAAATAAGGTAGACATGAATACATGAAACCTGTTATATTGGATTGTATGCAAGAACGTTCTCAGTCCTGAATTATGTGCTCCAGCAGAAAGTAGCAGGGAACAATGGTGGAGCAAAGGGGAAAGTAAAACCAAATTTCTTCTGCTGTTTTTCTAGAAAAAATCATGAGTTTAGGTGAAGCATCCAAGTCAGTGTGCCCCATTCTCTTTGCATTGGTTTAATCTCTTTTTAAACTCTGGTGGCAGCCCCACGATCCCGTGGCAACAAGTTCCACAATATCACTTTGTGCTCTCGGGACAAAGGGCTACTTTTTGTTTCCTTCTAAAACCTGGAGCTTCATTATGCCACCTGTGTCCCTTATTTCCCATTCTGTGAAGAGTAATGAATAGTCACTAAATCAAATTGAAAGGATTTCTCCCATGTCTCCTTTCAATTGCCGCTTTTCACTGCAAGAGAGTTATATCTATTTGTTCTCACTCCATTCAGCAGATTGTCTCCCATTTAGTGGCACAGACTGCCTGGCCTCAGGCAAGCCATCCTGCCTGCTGGGGGACTATCCATCATACAGGAGGGCAGGATCCAAACTGCTTCCGCTTAGCTGTGGGGACGGTGTCTGGGAGAAAAGCACTGAATCATTGTATCTCACCCTACCTCTCCCCAGGCCAAAGCAACTCATTTTAGGCTCCTTGCTCCCTTCTGACAAGTGCTTGCAGGAACTTGCTTTGGTTTATCATGATCTTGACACTTTCCGCTGCTCGATGTTTTCAGCCTGCTTGTTTTCTAGCTTGTGCTGGTAGAATAAAAGGCTTTAGTTAGTCTCCAAATTTTTAACTGCCTCTCCCCCTTATATACAGGTTACATGTCACCTGCAAAGACTAAGCCAAATTCTAGCTAAAATTAACTTTTATTTTTGTGGACTCTTGGGGTCTAAATACCTTGCTCTGCTAGGCTACTTGTGAGAGCACTCAGCTGTGCTTCTTCTTTTCTTCTGGTGTTGTTGATTTCTTGGCAAGCTTCTTGCAAAGAGTTTTTTCTCTAATGACCTCAAGAGATCCTAGCTGGCTTGTTTCATGTTTCTTATTGCACTGACTGACTGCATGTGTTAAAGTTCAGTTTGCAGACTGAGAAATGAGACAAATTGAAGATAAACTGCTAATTTGGGTTTGGGTGGCTGAAGATTCCAACTGATTTCTCTATCAAAAATATGAGCAGCGTGCTCTGAAAGATATGAGTTCAGTTCTCACAGAAATACTGTGTTCCCTATGAAAACAGAACAAGAACAATAAAATCCCTCCTGCCAAGGTTTGTGTAATTTGAACATTTAACCCTTAGGTTTTCTTCCTTGGTGGTCAAGGGCCATTGAGTCTCTTTCCTTCTGACCTTGGGTGACAGCCATCTGACCTTGGATTTTGTTTTTAAAAATGTAGTTGCTGTATCATGTTACTGTAACGCCTACCTCCAACAAAGAAGGGAAACCAGGTCAAAAGCTGCTTGCTGGCTTAACAAACTGAGATGCAAGGTTATACCTACAAACCAAGGATTAAGATAGCCTGTCAACCACATGTAAGAAGTTTTGCTTAAGAGAACAGTAGCTGAAGTAGACTCTTAAATTACATGATGTCTCTGCTGGTAAATTGCCTGCTAAAGATTGAAATGTTGCCTCCATAAATTAAAACAAAACAAAACAAAATCAACATTAAAAAAACAGCCCAAAAGTTTGTTTAGAAGAAGTTTTCCACTGGCACATATAAAAAAGGGAGTGGCCACAGGAGGAAATACTCCAGTTCAGGGAGAGCTCTGCCCTCAAGTGTGGGTGTCTATTGGTCTCATTTCCTTGCTTATCAACATGGGAAGAATTAAATCAAATAAATGCAGCAGCAAAGTCCTTAAGATTTATGAAAAATACATCAAAGACAAAAAGAAAAATTAAGAATTACATGCCATCATTATGTTACAGTCCTGTAACATAATGGAAAGTCTTACAAAGAGAAGAACAGTAATAATGCGTACACTGTTTGCTTATTAAGTGATTTCTGTTAATTCTTATTAACTCCAGTTTAAAATCAAACACAAACAGTATCGTATGGGAAGTAGCAGACTCTTCATTGTTTTTAAGCATCCATTTTCCCCTCCCACTCTCCCACTTCTGTCCATAATGTATGTTCTATTTCTGACATCTAAAAATATTTCTGAAGGTTTATCCTGGCTGCTATCACCATAATAAGTGAAATATTTTCTGAAAATAAATCATACTAATGCATGTACTCTAACTATCCCCAGACATTATTTCTGTGAGAGAAAATGGGACTAGAGAAGATGTACTAGATGAAAGCAATACATAGATTTTTGCTGTGGTAATGAACATCATCTGTTAGGGAGCAGGGTTGTTAGACCTTTGGAAACGTTGTTGAATATGAAGTTATGTTACAGGACAATCTTGTTTCATCAGACAGCTGAGCTGGAAAGCTTTGACTCAAAGGATGCTCTGATGAAAGCCTGAATTATCTGTTATACTCAGAGCCTCTGGCACTTTAACTTCCCTTTACCTTCCAGTGTGAACCACTCTTAGGGGAACTGTGAATCAGACCTAGGCTGTTTATCAGCTGTCAAGTAAACAAACATTAGAAGCAAAAATCCGCAGGAGGCAGGTTTACTGAAGAATGTAAAAAATGGAAATCTGAACCACTGCTGGCTGTGCTGAGTTGAAATACTTGGGCTGGCAGGAGGACTCACAGCTAGATTTTATGACTACCTGGAAGCAATCCTATTGCCAAGCTAGAAACATTAGGAGGAGCAGATAGAAATGGAATCTGATCTATCTTGGACTAGATGAGAAGACTTCACTAGCTAAGAAAAGGTAGGTGATATGAAAGGCAGAAATTTATATTTCCATTTGAAGATCATATGAAGGGTGCTGATATACCAGATGTGTAGGTCTGCAGTAGTGAAGCATCAAAAGAAATGTTGCAGCTCTGGATCCCCAGAGCAGTCTTGAATGTGAGTTTGGGGTGTGAGGTGGCTGCATCTGGAACCACTGAGGCCAAGCCTCAAACATTTGTCAGTAATAATGGCTCATGTTGTAATGTGGACGTGTGGCCATTAGTGTGGGACCGTGCATTTGCATCAGTAATGAATCTGGACATGTCAGTGTGCAGTGTCACTACTGGCCCGAGGCCTGCTTGGACTCCTGGCTTAGAGATAAGTGATCACAATCATCACACGCACCATTGTGAGTGTGATTTTAAAGACAAGACAAAAAGAAATGCTGGGAAATAGAAGTGTAAGTAATATTCTAGTTGCACAATTAACTTCTGCAGGAGCAACAAATGATGTTTCCTAAATGAAAAAGGTGTTATATTTAACAGGCAAAAACTGTTTCACTTCTTTGTTCTAAAGTATAGCAGTTGTGTTACACTTGAGGAGTGAAACTTTCATACACAGATCTATAAATATCACTGGGTTTAAAAGAGTCCCATTTTAAAAGGCAGAAAAAGCAGACCCAGAGTAGTGAAATTCAACTTCACATTAATAATGACAATGGCCTTTGGTTGTGGGTTTGTTTTTGGTTTTTTTTTTACTTTTAATTTTGCCCAAAACCTAGGTTTCCTGCTTTCCAAGAACAGTGTCTAAACCTGGAAGTCTACTTTCCCTGGAAACAAAGAATTTGCTTCCTTTGTTTATTTTCACTTGAAGAAACATGACCACTTATGGCATGTTTGCTAATCATATTTCAAAGAATAATAGAAGTGCTAATTCTGTACAGAAACTATTAATTTTTCTCAATCAGTTTTACCAAAGGTACTACTTTAAAATGTTGTTGACTTTTATTTTTATGAAATGAAAATGTTCTTTTGGTATCTGGTATGTACTGTATTATTTTCACTAACTGGAGGACTCACAATCCAAACAGAAGATTAGCCAAACCCTTTTGGACCAAACCCCCTGAGAACTTTATGGAATTATTCAAACCTAACATTTTTAGGCAGTATTTTTGTGAACATAATTTCTTTTGTTGAATAGAAACAGAAGGGAATTATGAGGTTGTAAATAGGGGCAAACACAGATTTTTACTATGAGCAATTGAACAAATATTTGGAAACATACTTGTTTCTCTCCACATTATCCCATCTGTTAGAGATGTATATATTTAGATTAATTTTTTAGAAAGCAAATGTTAATTTAAAGTTGTACTAAATTCTTGAAGCTCTTAAGACATTCTGTACTCTCCCAATCCTTTCTTAACTATAAAATATCTTTTTGTAGTAATGCACAATGGCTGTATTCCATTTATTTCATTGAATATGACAATTCAGTTCAATTACTAGTAGAAGCTAGTGAAATTTGGTTTTGAATTATTTGTTTGGAGACCCCATTTTAATAGATTCTCAAGTACAAGCATCCATTTTTTGGATTGTTAGTTATTTTTATTGTTTCTCGCCTAAACTAAAGTTATTGTGGTACCTTAAAAGCCAAATAAGATGCATTCTTAATTTAGAAGTTCAAATTTAAATGTATGAATATAGTAAATGTGTTGTCAGAGAGAGTTACTGATGCCTTTTGATTACATGCAGTGACTGCTAATATTGCTCCTTTTCTCTCAACATAAGTATCTACTTGAACTGATGGTTATAAACAAATTATAGATTTTGTGGATAATATTTTTTTTAAACGCATTAATGCTTATGAATTTTTATTCCTTCCATAGTCTATAGATCTCTTGATTATCACTGCAAATTTCTCTGCAAACTTATTCACATAGGTGACTGATCACTAAATCTTAGGGTGAAATGTTCTCATTATGAAAATTTTTTTTATGGAAAAGTGCCTATGCTCAGCATTTGTTATTGCTACATAAAAGTTGGAATTTTTTGTGAATTTAACTGAGGGTATCAATTCAAAATTTTAAGGATCTAATGTCTTCCAGTGCCAGAACAGATCCTTTAGGGAGTGCCAAGTGGTCTCTGTGTATTAAGTTCCTCACAGTATGTGTTGGACAAATAAAAGCGAGCAACAGACCAATCTAGATTTGCCCATTCTACAAGAATGACAAGTACAACGATAGCAACCTGCCAGATTCAGAGGCCATGGATAATCTGAAAATAATGGGGTACCAGGCACAAGATGGACTCCACAACTGAGAGGAGGCCATGGAAGGCATGGCACACATCTTCAATTTCAATATTCCAGTGCAAAGAGGAATCAAGGAAATGCAGATGTCAGTGATACTTTATAGCAGTACTTGTCAATACTGACAAGTATTGACAAAATTGGAGGAATGGAAGCAGTGACATACCATGCCATAATGACTTTCAAGGACTTATAACAGCTGAACGTTTAACTGATATCTCCAGATGCTTCAAGAAAAAATGTTACCATAAAAAATTATCACTGATCATGAAGAGCTCTGTCTACATGGAAAAGTTTTCAAAAGTCACCAGTATTCTCCCTAAGATTTGTGTCTGCATTGTTTGGTTGTTGATGGTTACATTTATACCAAAAAAAAGCTAGATAAATTTGAGGGCAATGTCAGATCTTGTGTCTGGTAACCAGTGCCATTCTGGTGGATTTCTGAAAGGCCTAGCAAACAGGGGTACACAGGGAAGGTGTACAAGGTACAGGGTTTTGGAATTCCTTTCTGTCTCTTCTTTAGTACTCTTTCCCCAACATTATGGACCCCTGTTTCACATTTATCCATCAGCCAGTGACACTGGATATTTCACAGAAGGTTCCTGTTCCTTGAATTGCCTGGGAGGAAAATTCTACTCTCTCTCTGCCTGCTGCATTCTCACCCAGAAAATTCAAAATGCATTTGGAAAGTGTCTGTGAAAGGTTTTAACTGCCCTGCTAAACCCTTGAGTGCTGCTTTTTAAAACTATCCATTATGTGGAGGAGGCTGCTCACAATAGCCTGGGAACACAAGACCTGAGCCTGCTTCAGCAGCTGGCTCTCCTTCCTGGCACAGCAGCAGGCTGTCACCGCGCTGCTCTCAGCCACCTCATCCCTCTGGGCCTGGGGCACTCAGGACCCCAGTGGAAAAAAAACAGCGTTTTACTAGGAGATGCTGATTAATCAAAAATGAACTCTTTCATGGGAAAACATCTTGTCTGACAAACTTCCAAGGAAACAGAGAAAAATTTGCACTGAAAGTATCCTTCTTGTCTGTCGGATAACTGATAAATGGTAGGTGACAGAATTCCTAAGGCTTGCTTCTTCAAGGGTCTCCCTCTGCTAGGACTGCTGGCTAGCCAGCAACACAGAGGGCTGTGCTCCTGACATCTTATTAATATTATGACAGTGTTCATTTTAAAAATTAGACTTCAACCATGAGAAATTATAAAAACTATGACTTTTCAACACGAAATAAAAATTTTTCAACAGAAAAGGAATTCTAGTTTATGCTTGTCTTTGCTCAGTAGGGAGCTAACCTTTTCATATTTCTTAATCTCTGTCCAAGTCCCATGATACTGTTACATCACTTCTCTTTTCCCTTGAGACTAATGATTAAGTAGGTTAGTCAAAACTTGCTGTGTGTACTAAAGGCATACTTCTCAAATTCGACCTAACTTCTCAAATAATGCTCTCCAGCTAGAACGTGGACTCCACAAATTTATTGAAGTTGACTATCAGTTTACTGTGATATCCTTTCAGCTGATTTTTGTCCTCAGAATATGTAGTTAAAGGTTATACATATGATATCTGATATAAAAATAAACTGCTTCCACCAACTGGGATCACATACAACCATGTAAAGAAAAATGAAATGTATCTGAAGGACTGGTCTATGACTCTAAGTTATACAGTATTCTGATATTGTTCATTTTAAGAAAAGACAACTACACATACATATTTCAGTGGGAAAAATGTACCTTTTGTTAACACACATGTTATAATTTTCAGTACCTAAACAGCAAATTAATATTGAATTTCATTTTTCTTGTAAACTGAAAAGAGAATAAAAAGAATCAAATTAATCTAATCACCCAACAGTATTTTTTTCACTTTATGTTTAATTTTCAAATGGAATGCTGCTGTTCATGTATCATGTATTGCAGTGTACTAGAAACAGGGGAGAAATAAAACCCGAAGAACTTAATGAAAATGACAATGCCTAGATTCCTTCTTTCTAGAGAAGGGAACTGCTCATATGTAGGTGAAACCATTATGGGAAATGAATATTGCTTGTTTTCTCTTCACCTTGTAGTTGTCATGTATGCTAGGCATAAAAACAAGAATGATGGAGAGCTTTTGTAACATGTTTCTCTGTTGAGAAAATTTACTTGACACATTTTTTTGCCACACATTTTCTCCCAAGGTGGTATCTCTGGGAAAATATTCTTGTTTCTTATAGGATATCTTTCAAAAATACACTGGCTGTGGATAGAACACCACTCCTAAATATTTCTTTTGATGTTTGTGCAAACTCCTAAAGCATCATTCTTTGCTTTAGATAGGACTCTGTGCCATACTTTTTCTTAGTGCTAATATCAACAGCGGTGTTAGGTCAGTTTTGCTGTCATGATTAATTTTATGCTTGTAATGCACTGTGCTTTGCACTCACATTGAAAATAACACTTCAACAGCATTTAGTGTAGAACTAACTGTGACACTGGTGGTGTTCTTTATGCTGACTACTAAATTTATTTACCCCACTGCAAAATACCTTTGATTTTTATTTAAAGATAATTTCTCTACTGAAGTACCAGGGCAATATACCTTAATATTAACTAAGCAGTCCTTTTTCATCTCTAACTTCCTTAATTTTTCTTACCTGTACAGGATGCACCATTCAGATAAACCTTTTTAATAATTACAGGTTTGTTTGAGAAATAGATTTTGGCAAATCCCCAATATTAATGTGGAACTTGTAGTAATCTTTGAGTCTGAGAGAAAGCTTGGAAAGCATGTGGTTAAAATATTTTGAGGAGGTGATACATGACCCAATGAATCTGGAAAGCCACTGAAGTGATGTTTGTTGATATTTGTCAGATACCACATGGAATTTGTGATTTAACTGTTTGTTGGCTCTTTCTGTGTTGGAGGAGTTCCCACCTCCCTCTGATGCCTGTCACACTGCACAACTTTTGAGATCTGTTCTTTTCCTCCAGCACTCCCAGCTATAACTATGCACCAAACATGGATAAGCACTGGATTATGCAGTACACAGGGCCCATGCTGCCAATCCACATGGAGTTTACCAACGTCCTGCAGCGCAAAAGACTTCAGACCCTGATGTCAGTTGACGACTCTATGGAAAGAGTGAGTGCAAGAAACTGCTGTTACAGCAGTTGACAATCTTGTTAGTCGGTAACAAAATTTAATTAATTCATTCTTTCTTTACCTTCACCAACCACATTCTGGGGAAAGTCATTGTACTATGAGGAATTACTCCACTTTTTCCCAGTGGAATTGAATTCTGGTTCTCTGCAACATGAGGCCAAGCTCCTGGCTTTCTTCTTTCAATTGCTGGGTCAAAAAAACAGTGGGCTTTTTTAAAGGGAAAAGTCACTGTGCCTAGTATAAAGCCTGGTATTAACAGAAGATGCATCACCTGTGTGTACACATGGATAGACACAGGTGCACACATGACAACTTCTATTCATTTCACACACTCCATTCACAGCGTATCCTTCAGCTGAAATCTGGGAACTGGCAAATCACAGCAACTCAGGTGTCAGTCTACAAGTGTTTGGAGAAGTTAGGCAAAGCAGTGCACTGCTAATTATAGGTAACATGATACATGAACTATTAGGTTTACTTTGTATGACTTTTTGTTCCAAAATCAAGCACCATGACCAAAGATCTTCCCCTAGAGAGATTTCTTTAAACTTTAATAAAAATTTACAGCTTTTTCCCAAGCCCACAACTGTAAGGAATGGGAAAGTTGTAGACTAGCACAGTAAATCAAATCTCAGTACCTTTTCCCCTAAAGTTGCAGCAGACTTTTTTCACAAGCTGTGTGTGAGTACACAATGAATTTTTGACATACTAAGGCAACTACCCCATCATTACCGTATTTTCTCTATTCTAATTTTCTGGAGCTGTTTAATTGTCCCCTCTGTCAAGTGTGAAATTGAACTGGTAGGTCGATTTTTCACAGCACAGTAAAGGCAAGATGTGCAAATGCCAGACCCCAGAATCTATGTCAGCTATGTCATTGATGCCCTGTTTGGTCCTGTGTATTTAAGGGTTATAAATGATGGTTATACACGACTCTGCACAAAACGTGTTTTGCTACACTTAACTCGGAGTTCTTTCTGTGCTGGGTTGCAGTTACACCAAATGCTTGCAGAGATGGGAGAACTGGAGAATACCTACATTATTTACACTGCTGACCATGGATACCATATTGGGCAGTTCGGACTGGTCAAGGGGAAGTCAATGCCGTATGACTTTGATATTCGAGTTCCTTTCTTTATTCGTGGTCCAAGTGTGGAGCCAGGATCAGTGTACGTTCCCTTATGTCTCTAGCACAGCTGTTGAGCCTAATGTAAAATGTTTCTGAGAACATGTAATTATCACTTTGTCTAGTTTCATTTCATGAAGGATGCCCTATTATTGCAGAGCAATGAGTCTCATAAACAGGCAGTTTTTTCACTTTGCATATTATGAATAAGTTATAATGCAGATGAGAAAACTGTAATGCATAGTCCTGTAGGGTTGGACTTGGGTTTTGCTTTTAAAAACTATGTTCTCATCTTTACTGCTCACTCTGTCTTTTAGCATCATGCCCTCATTGTCAGTGAGATAAGAGCAGTGTTGCTGCTGCGCCTCCTTGTTTAATCGTGCTTAACTTTTTCTTTGTGATGTCAGTCTGCAGTACTGGCCTATCGTTCTGTGCTGTAGACTTCAAAGGGGGTTTTCTAAACTTAGCACTTCTGTAGAGCTTTACATCTTCAAAGCCCTGATAAGCATTAATTATCATTCTATTTCCAAGAGAATGTGAAGACTTACACATTGACCACATGGCAACTATGACCTTTCCTGTTGATTTGCAGTGTGCCTCAGATAGTTCTGAATATTGATCTCGCTCCAACAATTCTGGATATAGCAGGCCTTGACACACCTCCAGATATGGATGGCAAATCTGTCCTAAAGCTTCTGGACTTGGAGAGACCAGGAAACAGGTGGGTCCCAGGATCCTTTTTTAGCCAGTTCAGAAGCAAACACCTAAGTAAATCAACAGCTGAGTGGAAAAACAGATTCTGTGAAAATGAGTTGTGTCATGGCAATGACCACAGCTTTCCCATTTCAAGAGTCTCTTAAGTAGTAGATCTATAAATTTGTGTGTATATATAAGTGGGGAGTTGTTTTTTTCAAAAATAATTTGTTAACACTTACACAGTGGTGTGCTTCAGTGCCAGCAGTAAATGTCATTATTTTACTTTCAGGTTTCGAACAAACAAGAAGACCAAAATTTGGCGTGACACATTTCTAGTGGAAAGAGGGTAATTATTAGGGGTGAGAGAGTTTTGGGAGAGCCTGCCTGCTGGGAGTACTCCTTGTACATGCTTTACTTTCTGCTTCCTCCTCTTCCTTTTTATGGTCAGAGAAGCAGTAAATTTTGCAAGCCAACTGACAGGCATGACTTTTTTCCTATTTTCCCACCACTGCCTTTGCAATCTCCTGTGCTTCCAAATCCCTTTCTCTGAAGAAATTTGAAAGCATGCTTTTCTGGTGATTCTCCTAGCCTCTTTCCCTAACACTGTGCTTGTTCCCACTTTTGTCATTATCCAAATCATCTTCTTCCCAAATCTCAGTTTCAAACCCAGCTGTGTAGAATCCTCTTATCATCTAAGTTTTTATTTTCCATAATGTATTAGAAGCATTCTTCATTTTTGTTCTAGCTAAGACTTATGTGTAATTGAGATTCATTACTATAACTGCTCCTCTCTTTGATGAAAACTCCTTATACCTTCTTACCTTGCCAGTTGATGCTGTGAAAATTTTCTCTGGGTAAAAACTTTGCTGCAATTTTGTTTTGGTACTTTATGACTTTACAGATTATGAAAACCTTGTCTGATGTATTACAAAGCAGTGCATGAAAGACACATCGTAATATGTAAGATACAGCCAAGCTTGTGCTCAGTATGAAAGTCCTGTTGTGTCTTCAGCTGTGTTTTCCAGCCAAGAAAGTATTGCTTCAAAGAGTTTTGCATTTTGTAAAAACCTACATTTATGTATGAATGGTGCTGAACTGTACCAGTTAGACATATTTTAGCAGCACTTATTTATCTTCTGGCAATTTTCAGCCAGTCACCTGAGGCTTTTTTTCAGTATGTGACCTACATCGAAAGTCAGCAACAGAAATGTGGGGATTTTTTCCCTAAGACATAAACCTTCAAGTAGCTTCACTGTTCAAGTTAAATTCTTCCTTAGGGAACAGTGTACCTAAAACACTCCACTTTATTTTTTTTTAAGCAAATTTCTACGCAAGAAGGAGGAACCCAACAAAAACACTCAGCAGTCTAATCAACTACCAAAATATGAGAGAGTAAAAGAATTATGCCAACAAGCAAGATACCAGACAGCCTGTGAACAACCAGGACAGGTAAGACACAAGTAACTGCAGTTTTCTAGGTGTCACAGGGAAATACACATTTTACACTATGGGTCAAAAGAATTTGAAGAATATGGCTTTTGGGAGGTAACTAAAAGATCACTGTTGTTAATATCTTCAGAGCAAAAGAAAACCAGACAAAATTTCTCTAAGCAGTGGTCAAATTCAAGGTGTTGAAGACCTGGTCCTACATTTGTTGTCCTAGTATGGAGCTCATAGTAAAATTCCCATTGCCAAACATAACGTGAAATGACTACTTTTTCTTTGATCATGTGCATTGATAAATATGCAAGATAGTTTGGTAATAATAGTTAAAAAGGGAGAGAATCTTTCTGAGCTGTGAAAGCTTGGACTCACTGGGCTAGTTCAGAACTACCAAACAAGCTGGTTAGTCCTAAGGTTACAAATTAATTCATTTGCTGGGATGAACAACTGAACAGCACGCTTAGTAATCACCATCTTTTAGTATTTATTGAAACACTTGAAACAGAAGGGTCTCCTTGCCCAGAAACACTCCCTATTTCAGGTCACTGTACGGATTCAGGCATACCCATACCGAAACATTATGTTTTCTTCTTGCAGCTTTAGTGATTTCAGTATAACATCTGACTCTGATACAAAGGTCTAATTGCATGCTCATAAAACCAGAAATTACTGCACCCTTGACTACTATGCTTACACCTGCATTTCTACAGTGCACGCACAGGAAGAGAGCTAAATTAAGTGATTCTGACTCCAAATTCTCTTCAATCCATCCTGAATTAATGCAATACCTATGGTAACATACGAAGATGGATTTACTGGGGAGATGTGCATCCTTCTCATTGACACCACCTCCAGCCACGCTGGGGCACACGCTGGGGGCCCCAGGCAGTGCCTGCCTTGCCGTCCCTGCAGTCCATCCCCGTCCGCGCACACCTCCCCGCAGAAGTGTGAGGTGATTTCTCCCAGGCAGGCGCTGTGCTTTCCCTCAGATGTTTGCTCGGAGCGCTGCCGGCAGCCGAGGGCCTGGCTGAGCTCGGGGCCGGCTCTGCGGAGCGGAGCGAGGGCACAAAGGCCGCTCTGTGCCGGGCCGAGCCCGCTCGCTCCGCGCCACCCAGGGCGCCTGGCTCCAGGCAGGCCGCGCTCGGCCCGAGAGCCCGCCTGGGGAAAGGCTCCGGCCCTGCCCTGCCCCTTCGCCTCCTGTGGAGTGTAGGGTTACAGCAATTCTCGGGTAATCACAGATTGCACTGGATTAATGTTTCGGCTGTCACATCCTCCGCCGGGTCCTCTGTCACGGCTCTTACCTCACACATGCTCCTTAAATGCTGCCACTTTTGAAGGGATATACACAATATCGCAGTCTCACCCAGGGGTAAAGTTTTCAGGAGTTCAAGCACTGCTGTTGTAAACAGAGATTAAATTTGAAAATCTGAATGCTTTATAAAAACTAAAGGAGATCAGTGAAGTAATTTAGACTGTTAGACACTAAGATGCTAAATTTTAAGTAACAAAATATTTTCTTGCAATTATTTCTTACATTTTTGCCTCTTATGCCAAAATCCAGGTTTGGAATAACTACTTTTCCGCATATGAATAGAAAAGGTTAAGTGTCCTGACTAGACATCACACCTGAAGCAGTAGGAAAACCTGCTCACAGGCCTGTCCTCAGCCCAGGGCAGTAGATCCTATTGGTGAATCCTACATTGGTGAATCCCGTATTGGTGAATCCAGTTTGATCAAAGGGTGAAGGAAGAAGGGCAGCAAGGAGGCTACAAGAGCAATATTGTTTGTAGTGGGTCTCCCACCTACAAACTCTCATCAAGGTCTTTTCAATGCTGAAGGTGCATTGGCTGCACGGAGCCCAGCAGCCATCCCTCACAGCTGGATGAAAGACGGGGCTGAGCTGACATTCTTGAGAACAATTTTTAGACACAGCATTGGTTTGTACACATTGTTTTCTTTAAAAAATAGACTAAGGCTGTCCCTGATAATTCCAACATCCTGAAGGCTTCCGGCAGGAGTGCTGAAGTTAAATATTCCTATGGAAAACTTCTGTTGGGCAGAGCGTCGTGAGGTGTGGAGCATCCTCTGGGCTCATTCAGCCCGAGGGGCACAGACCCACTCCTCCCACTCCATCTGCCCTCATGCAGTCCTGGGAAACAAGGCCAGTTTCTCTCTCAAGGACAGACTACCTGTGGTGCTCACAGGAAAGTAAGCATACAATAGGTAAAGTGTGAATTTATAGACCAGCACTGGACTAATATGAACTTCAGTGAGACATTGCAATGTGAAATAAGAACCTGCAGGATTTTTTTCTGGGTAGAGAAGTTCTTCAAATGAAAAAAGTTAGTAGTTAATAAATGTACCTTAGTCATGTGTTCCAATGTGCATTTCTGAGCCATCAGAGTTTAATACGAGGTTCCTGCAGCAGATTTGCTGTAGTCATTTTGCACTTCTTAGAAAAGAGAAAGTATTGGTGTACATGAATTAACTTTGTTTTATCTTTTGAGATTTGTTGATTTCAATTACATAGGTGCATATATAGAAATAAAATCTTCATTTAAATTATGGTCGTTTATAATACTTCCCTACATTTACTCTAATCAGTTACAGTTAACATCAGTTAAATTAAAATTACATTCACAGAATGAGTGATTGCTGACATTCTAAAATAGTGAAATTACTGGTCTGTGGGAAGCTGTTGCTAAATGTCTGAAACTAAGAATAAGCATTTGGGGAATTAATACACCACTAAAAGCTTGTTCTTTATTTAAATTTACTCTAGTCAATACTCAGTTTATTTGAAAAGGAGAACACAAGGAAGCTGAAAAAGAAAAAAAAGATTTTTCCTGTATTAAAATGAGGTGTGATCCTGAGATCTGCTAGTTCCAAAATCTCCAAGGCTGAGGTACTCAGGATAGTACTTGCTTCAGCTTGTTTTCTCTTTAAAAGAAAGGAAAATATAGGAATCTAGCATAATAATTTTTTAATCAAAAGTTTCAAAATTCTTTTTTTTATGCCCAATGTGTATCTGAAAATAGATAGACTTAAAAAAAGGGGGGGGGGGGTTGAAGAGAAAATACTAAACATCTGTAAAACATAAATATAAAATACTTTCACTGTTAGTTTTTAATGTATTTAAATTTTCCAGCACCACTGACATGGCATCACTTCCATTGTAGATCACATTGTAGATCACTGTCCCCTTGCTGTATTTGCATAATCCCCTTTATGGGAGGACAGTTTCCAAGCGCTCACCCACCTCCTTGGGAACATCTCAGAAGTGAGATGTGCATGGGATCTGTTCACTCCTGACTTGTTTCCAGCAGTCACTGACGTGGGTCAGCAGTGAGCCCATGCCAAGGAGAGGAGCTCCTGCTGAGCTGCATTAGCAGGAACACTGCTAACAGGTCGTGGGAAGTGAGCACTCGCCTCTCCCTGGTGCCTGTGGGCTGCACCTGGAATGCTGCATCCGGGCTGGGATCTCCGGCAGCAGCGGGACTTTGGTGCGCTGGAGCAAGTCCAGGGGAGGACCCCAGAGATGGGGTGGAGGTACTGAGAAGGGGCAGAAGTTTGTTTGGCCAGGGGAAGAGAAGGCAAAGGAAGAAGCTAATTGTTTCCTTTGATTAACCAATGGCTAATTAGAGAGAAGACAGACCCAGGTATGTCTTGGAGGTGGCTATCAGTCAGAGACAAGTTGCATCAAGGGAAAGTGTAAAGAGCTGCATGGAAAAAAGTGTTACCATAAATATGATTAAGAACTGGAGCCCAAAGAGGCTGTGGAAAGTCCACTCCAGGATACATCCAAACCTAATAATGTTGTTGCTTTGAGGAGGAGGATGAACTAAATGATCTCCAGATGTTCCTTCAGTGCATGCTCTTAATATTTACTTGCTTAGTACCTATCCTTGAGGATTTCATGTTTTCTTCTTCCTCCTCAACTTCATAACTTGGGAAGTGCTGTTTATGAACTTGTGAGTTATGGGTCACCTGCTCATGTCGTATTTTGGTATGGACCAGATTTCAGCCCCTGCCCTGCCCCAGCTGTTGACGTGTGCTCACCCAAAGCACAGACAGTCCTGTCACATCAGCCAGATTCACTCCCCTGGAAAAGGGAGCAGGAGCTGGTGGGCTCCCTGCTCAGCTTGGGGCTTGGAGAGGGGTAGACATTTCCTTTGTGTTCCCTCCACATCTCCAATGAGAGAATGCTCAAGAAATTGTGATGGGAACAGGAGGTTTCATTCATAGTTCATATGCCAAATTTGTCACCAGTTTACATGGTGTAACTTACTGAGGTCACCTGATTGAGCCCAGTTGGTTTAGCAGTGGATGCTGATGGGTTTTAACACTTAAATGGTTTGCAGGGTATTTTAATATTTCATTGATATATATTTACCTTCTCAGTAATAAGCTACACCATACAGAAATATTGATTCATCTACAGTGCTCATCTGCAGCACTCATCTGCAGCATAACTCTGCTTTTGTTTTAATATGGGAAACACTTGGTGTCAGCTTGTAATAAAGCTTTGTTAATTTTCCAACAGAGCAGAAAAAATAACATGTGAACAAATGTTTCTCTGGATTAATACAACCTTATCATGACACAAATCTCTTCTCAGCTTTCCACTGGAATGACCTGAGACAAGAATATATGTTAGTTCAGGAGGTTTAGAGGCAAGCTGCTCTTAAATCCTCCAGCAGGTTATTTTTCTTGAACTCATTCCATCTTCTCACTCATGAAATTCTTCTGGATACTTAGCAAATATCAAATAAAACCATGTTAACTGTGTTTTCATTTATACTTTTTCTTTCTCTCTTCCCTTACCTAAACGTGTAATTAAGGAGTTGAGTTAATTCATAAGTATTTATTCTTTTTCTCTCTGGTCTGAGTCATAGGAATTTTCCTAAGGCATAATTTTGACTTCTGGGACCTAACACTCTTTCCCAGATCACAGTTACCTTATGAGGTCTGGTGACTGATAGGCTGGATGTCTCCAGTGTACTGCT